CCCTCCCAATTTTCTTCTTGGCTGGCTTCCAGAGTGTGCTTCACACTAACTTATGGACTGTGGTAAAGATAACAGAGAGGCAAGTTTGCTTATTTGAAATGTACATGGTCCAGCTTAGCTGTATATCTGATGGAAATTGGATAGCGGTATTATCTGAAACAGGCAGAGATTCCAAAACTTGGCAATGTATCTTTTCTAAAAGGTGTTCAAAATCACTGACCAAGAAATGTATAGTAAGTGGCCTTCCTGAATGCATAGTGTACTGACAATTTTATTAAGCCAGCCAAAAAAGGGGAAATGCAAACACTCAAATCTCTTCACATGACATATTATCTTGTTGATTGGCCTAATAACACAGAGCTTTGCCAGCCACTTTTTATAGTAGCTAGCAATGCTTTCACATATTTACTTGAACTACAAAAAGCCGTGTCTGTGATGCCATTGGCCACAGCCCCTTGCACTTGGAAGGAAGCACAGGCATGAATAGCAGAAAAGTAAATACAGGGGTGGGGTTGGGTTTGGGGCAGAAGTTTCAAGTGCAAATGAGGCAAATGGAGGCAGAAAACAAATAAAAGGCAAGGTATTCACAAGGTATGAGGTTGATCACAACTGTAGTAGTAGGCATCCTTCAGTCTCGAGAGACTATGGTAACGTGCTCTGAATAGAGTTCTTGGAACAGCATCTAGTGTGGCTGAGAAGGCCAATTTGGGAGTGACAATCCCTTCCACACTGAAGACAAAGGAGGGCAGTAGCTACCTAGTGAGGTGTAATGACCTCTCCCACCATCGGACGTAGGCCCTGGCGTCATGCTCTACGCCAATCGAGCAAAGACATATAACCGGTAACTGCTACTTCCCGTGTTGTTTCAACGCTGTATGCAAAGCTGGAGTGTCCTCTCAAGAGTGGCATTTTCAGAGTGCATTAATTAGCTCAGCAACAATATAGCTTTTCCTCCAGACAAACAGCTCAGTTGGACCATGTGCTTTTCAAATGATCAAACTTACATCTTTGTAGAGATTATGATGGTTGTCATTCATTAGCTGCTGGAAGACCCTAGGGTCTCAAGCCCTTATGGACTGGGATTTGAATGGGGCATGAGTAATTTATGAACTTTTCCCTGCCCATTGTGACTGTAACAGCTAGTTTAGTACTTAAATACTGTCTCAGTTCAGATGAACTGATCTTATCTATGCACTTTTAAAATAAATTTTAAATGTGTTTTATTGAACATGGCTGTGGGGCACATGGTGGGCAATAAAGTGACTGCTAAATAAATTTCAGGGTTTAATCTTTTTGTTCATCACCATGATCACTGTCTGGAAGTAATTATCCATGGTTTTTCTATCCATCAAAGTACAATAAATCTGAGAGAGTGAGCATTGGGTCTCCATGGTTCCCCCTAACTCTATTTCCCCTCTCTTATCTGTCACAATGGAAAATGTCCAAAGCTCTTTAAACCAACATTTCCCATTTCATCTATGTCAACAAATCTAAATACAACTACAATCTGAGTTTGATATTCAGAGATTAAGTTGCACTTCCCCAGTTCAAATGTATTGGGAAAACTGTTTTAACGAACTTCGGAAACCTCACATAACCAGCAGGGAATGGGTGGGGAACGTAGAATTTGTCCTTCCTGTTTAATAAACAATGGTTGTTACATCTGAATCTGGTCACTAACTCACCTTATTATGACTCAGGTATTATTGGAATGCTATGAACAACTTTTTAACCACTTGACAAAGATGTGGACAGAAGAAAGGTAGAAATTTGGAACTATTCACATGTTCATAGAAGCTAGTGGGCTCTGAATGCATAGCACCTCATGTTCGTATTCTAAATGTGGTAGGAGGGCAACTCAAGTCCAGTCTGTACCTTCCCCAGAGGTTGAAGCATCTCCAGATGGAAGAAGAGGAGATCTGAAGTGACACCTAAGAACTAGAATAGTGGCCACCCTTTCCAGAGGATTCTGGAAAGTGTAGTCAAAGTTTTTCCATGTTTTGCCAGAAATGTACCTCTTTTGCAGAAAGCTTACAATGCAAGCCATCCTGTCCTCTTTCTCAGGCCTTCCAAAAACAAAGAATTTTCAATTGAAAAGTTAATCTCTGTAATATCCTTTACTTAAGCCTGTTTGCCAAGTTTTAAGTCTGAAATTGGCCCCTGCATCTTCTTTCTTTCCTCTTGTCTTTTCTTCGCTGTTAACCGCCATAGGTGATCACAGCTCTTCAACTTGTGTCCCTAAACATTCAGGAGATGTTGTATGTACACATTTCCCATACAGAATATTGGTAGAACACAACTGGTTACAGAATTCCCCAGGATATGCGATGACATGGCCCTTACAGTTGCAGTCACTTCAGGACTCTGATAATTGGGATCATCACATTATTTGCTCTTCCATTATTTGCTAGCTTTTGGGTAGAGTTGGGTAACAGAATTATCAGCGACAGCCACCTGACTGGAGTCTGTACCAAGTGTGGGTATCAGAATGATGTCTCTAGCATGGGCCACAGAGAGAGAAAAACAGACAAGCTGCTCTAGAGTACAGGAGTCTAAAGAGTCTGTGCATAGCCACGGGTGCTTCACAAAGCAGCTCATTAAAGGCTTCTGATATTATTTCCCCAGTATCACCAACTGAGCTTGGAAAGGCACCTCTTACCTTTAGTTACAACTGTAGCTCAAAGTCCTCATAAGAGGGTGGTTATTATTATGCTGGATGTTTCTAAAAAGCAACTCTTTGTTTTTTCTTTATTCAAAAGTACCTAAAATAGTTACTTGAAATATCACCACCAGAATGCTTACGGTGCAAAACACATCTAACACCCATATAATTATAAAAGCAATGTAAAACAGTTGTGGTTACAGGAGCAATCCTCACCCTTGTTATGTTCCAATCCTCTTGCAACTTGAGACTTTTCCAGAAGGAGCATTAGTTCTGCTTGACATATGGGATTCCACACTGATTTTATGCATATTATTCTTGCCATTCACATGACATTCCTCCTGTTTCATTTAGTACCAGGGCCATTCCTGGGCCTTCCCAAACTTTTTTGGTCGCTTCTAAAAGCAGGTTTTATTTTCAGTCTTTTATTCTTCGGGGTGGTGGGGATGGAGGACAGAGTTTGCACTATGGTGCTTTTCACTGATGTTGAATCAGAAAACAAAAGTAGATTATTTGTTAAAAGATTTCTTGGTGATCTCTTAAACAGATGCATCTTTCTTAAAGATGTGAAAAGTTGGTTTGTTTGGATGTGTATCTCAGCAACTCTGCACTCCTGGCCCCAGTACTCCTGGTAAAGCCGCACCTGGAGTACTATGTACACTTCTGGTCGCACCTCAAAAAAGACATAGTGGAACTGGAAAAGGTGCAGAAGAGAGAGACTAAAATGATGACTGGGCTGGGGCACCTCTCTTATCAGGAAAGACTACAGCATTTGGGGATCTTTAGTCTAGAGAAAAGGCGCCTGAGGGGGGACATGACTGAGATGTAAAAAATTATGCGGGGGATGGATAAAGTGGATAGAGGAAAGCTTTCCCCCCCCTCTCATGTAATACCAGAACCAGGGAACATCCACTTCAATTGAGTGCTGGGAGAGTGAGAACAGACAAAAGAAATTTTTTTACCCAGTGTGTTGTTAGTATGTGAAACTCCTTGCCACAGGATGTGGTGATGGCATTTGGCCTAGATGCCTTTAAAAGGGGATTTGACAGGTTTCTGGAGGAAGAGTCCATCGCAGGTTACAAGCCATGATGGGGATGTATAAGCTCCAGGCTTAAAGGGAAGGTACCATCAAATGCCATGTAGAACTTCCAGCGACCAGTCTGAGAGAGTGAGGGTGATAACACCTGCTCCCCCTTCACACCTGTGACACTAACGGGGCTCATGACACAAAGAAGGGGAAATGGCTACTCAGGCCCAATTTGGACATTGTCACTTAGGGGTGTACTCATTTTTGTTGCCAGCAGTTTAGACATTAATGGCTATGTGTTGTGTTATTTTGAGAGGACAGCATATTTACACTGTTATACAAGCTGTATACTCACTACTTTACATTGTAGCCAAGTGTCATTTCTTTAGTATTGTCACATGAGAAGATATACTAAAATATTTATGAAATGTGAGGGGGTGTACTCACTTCTGTGATATACTGTTTGCATTTGCTAAGTTGTTGACAGTGCCTAGCTAGATCTGTGACACCAAAGCTCATCCTGGACACTGCAAACTACAGTGGTGTAGTGAAGCTGGGGCTTGCTGGCATGATGGACTGGAAAGTTTTGATTTGCAGTCACTATGACATCATCTATTACCCCTCAAAATGTCTTCTGAGTTTATCTGCAGTTCTTATAGTAGCTGGGAGAACAGCTGATGAAATATTTGGATTACCAAATTTCATCTATTTCTCCTATTCTATTCAAGCCAATGTCTAGAATTTGATTTGTGGTTTAGTACTATAGCAAGTCTTCTACTTAATCTATAAAATATACCTCAATAACAATAAGTAACAAAATGAATCAATCAGTAAACTGACTAATATTATATTTTTACAATGTAGCTTACATTGTCATCAATTGGCAAATATTTTCATTGAGTTATTTTCCCCATCAATCCCTATTCACCTGTTTTGTATGATAATGCAGTTCAAGAAGAATACTAGTCTGACTTCCAATCTTTTTTTTTTGTTATGGAAATAATCTAATTAAAGAAATTAAGATTTTTTTCTAATTAAGAAAAAATCTAATTAAAGAGGGGCACAAAATACTTCACGACCCATCGTCATACATCGTCTGCATCCTGCACCCCCCTTTCCAGCGCTTCCATTCACCAGCTGGTGTATGTTGCTCCTTCCCTCCCCAGTGTGCAATCTTCCAGTCTGGGCAGGAACATGGTATTCCCTTCTCCACTTCCTCCAGTATTTGCCCACTCAGATGAGGAGATGGGCAGGGATTCCTGCAGCGCTGCCTTTGAGTGGCCAGCTGCTGGAGGAGGCAGAGAAGGGAAGTTCAGGCTCCTGCCTGTACTGGAAGATCATGAAATGGGGAGGGAAGGAGCAACGCACACCAGGCATCAGCGAGGGGGATGGGGGCAGGGAAAGTACAACAGCTCTGCTGCCGAGCAGATGACTTACGGCGAAGGGACACAAAGTACTTTGTCCCCATCTCTAATTCTGATATATCTTTCAAGCTTCTTGTTCCCACATTGGCCTATACAACCACTTTTTGGGGAGGTACTTTTCTCCCTCCTCCCTTAAAAAACACACTGTAGTGCTTCTATTCGAACACTTAAATTTCACAAAAGTTTTTTTTTAGAAAAAATGTAGGTACATTTATAGGATTCAGGTGCCATTCATACCTTCTTAGCAACAAATACATGAATAAAATAATACCAAAGACCAATACATAATTCTCCTTCAAAGTCTACCACTATTATTCTGACTTTGAGACAACATCTGCCATGCCAGTCAGTAAATTGATGAATATTGTATTTTTACGATGTAGCTTACATTGTCATCAATCAATTGGCAAATATTTGGATTGCAATGCAAATATAAATAATTATTTTCAAATTGACTTTGTTTTTGCCTGGGTTACCATAGAACCAGGGCCGGCACTACCATTAGCCAGAGTGAAGGAGCTGTCTCAGGCAACAAAGTTCAGGTGCCGTAGGAGGGGAGGAATTGTTTGTGATTGCAGCTGTATCTTAACTGCCAGAATGAGAGCCTTCTGAGATTATGCACCCCATGTGATAACCTAATTTAGCTGGTCTCAGGTTCTTGTGCATCTTTACTTACAGGCAGGGCACACATTTTGTTCATCATCAAACAGCAACATGGGTAACATTGTGTTGATTTGCAGACCAGACATATGGTGTCTCATTAGACCTCCTTTCTCAGAGCACTCCTTACTGGAATCAATTGCTTGTTCACAGTCCATTGATCCAGCTGAATTCCAGCGGTTGTGTGAATGTCGGCTGGAACTTTTATCAGATAAAGTAACAAGAACAAAAATCAAGTACTGTATCTCTTTTTTCAAAGTTTTGAATCAAATGATAGTGTATCCTTTGCTCTTCGTTCCTACCGACCCCCAAATTTCTAGCCTAGTCTCTTGTGTGGATTGCCCCAAGGGGCACCTTGGTCTTTGGCTTCGCCATCTCCTTTTCTTTCCTAGAGAATTAATGGTATCGGTGTCTTGGCAGTTGTGTTGGCCTGTTTCCGCAGCACTCAGAGATTTTCTTCACGGCTCTTCGGGTGAAGTTCACTTTGCCCCTGTCCTTTCGGATAGCTGTATATTCATATGCTTTCAGCTTGATGTAATAGTCAGAGAACTTATTGTAAAGGACCGAGATGGGCATCCCATTCAGAATGATTCCAAAAGCAATGCAGAGGAAAGCAAAGATTCGCCCAAGGTGGGTTTCTGGGCACATGTCTCCATATCCCACTGTAGAAATGCTAACCTTTAAACAAGCAAAAAGAAGGTAGTTACTCTGGAATCAAAACCAACATTTTATGCTGAGAATTGTTCAACTGTTCAGATGTTTATGAGAGGCACACTGTCGGACAGTGTGGCATTGGAACTTTAGAGCAGAAAACCACATCAGTAATTTACAGAACATCACAATATTGGTTCATTAAGCCTAGAAGACTGAACCATAGCACTGTAGAGTTTGAAAGGATCCCTAAAAACAATCTGGTCTAATTTTGATCATGTAGGCCTCCACTGCTAAAACATGCCTGGCAGGTAGTTTTCCACCCTCTGTTTGAAAATGATTGCTTTCCGGTGTAGCCCATTCCACTGTCGAAACAGCTCTAACGGTCAAGATGTCCCTCCTAATGTCAAGTTGGCATCTCCTTACTTGTCATCTGAACCCACTGGGCTGGATGGTACCCTTTGGAGCTACAGAAAACAAATGTGCATCATCTCCCATATGACTTCACTTCAGAGACTTCAAGGTGGCCACCACAGCACCTCTCAGTCTTCTCTAAGCTTAATGTTACCAAAAAAAAAGTGAGACCAAAAAAATTGCAAAAATTTAATCTTGAAATTCTAAAACCATCCAATACAAATGCAGGGATTAAACACATGCTGCTGCTCACAAAACTCTCACTATTTTACTGAGCCTGCCCACCCAGATTGCGATATCAAATTTCATTTTGCTAGTTATGATTTTGTTAGACATCCAGATGTGTTGTGGGTGGTTTTACTTTGGGATTGGACTAATCTTTGGATTAGTGTTCTCTATATGTTGAATAAAAGAAGGCCAGGTGTTAATATTATCTGTTTAGGTTTGGTTCATATTTACTCCTAGGTTGTAACCACAATAGGAAAAATATGAGAAATGCTACAGGATTGGAATAGATTGATTCACATTTTTCATCAGCCACATGATGTAAAAGCAAATGTGAATCAGCCTAGAGTACCCCCCCCAAAAAACCATAATTTTTGCTTCTGCCACTGGAGCTTCTTCCTTTTAAAAAAATGAATCTATTTACATTGGTTCAGGTGGTGTTATCATTTGAATCAATATAGAAAAGCCAGCACACCAACCACCAGCACACACTTTGCATATACAGTACCATCATAGGAATAGCAAGCAAAGCTAATCACCTGATTGAAGAAGCTATTAATGTTGGAAAAGTAAAAGACCACATGATGTAAAAGCAAATGTGAATCAGCCTAGAGTACCCCCCCCAAAAAACCATAATTTTTGCTTCTGCCACTGGGCAAACAAGGTATGTATTTTGGTTGTATCTGTGAGATAAATTGCCCTTTCTCCATTAGCAAGATCTCTCTCTCTGTCTCTCTCTCTCACACACATACTGTTTCTTTTAACAGTATGCCTGCGTACCTAGACATCATAAATAAAGATAACAAGAGGAGGAAACTGACATTGTGAATCTTGCTTACAGCTTGCTAGTTAGTTCTACTGTAACTGCACCTCCTGTGGGACTATAAGAGAACTGTATTAAGAAGCTGCAAACAATTCTTTCTCCTCTCCCTGTAGGTCAATTAATGCAAACAGACCCAGGGGAATCAAGCTTCCCTCATATGACTTCACAGTGAGTGAATTTGCATTTCCCTTACTGTGTAGTCTCATGTACTTAGTATGTTAAATGTGTATGCCTTATTTTCTCTTACATTGTTCTATGCAAACATGTAATTTGTTAAAAAAAATCTCTAAGCTAAATTTTCAACATTACTCACTTACCTACTTTATTTATTATATTTTACTCCTGCATTTCAATTAAAAATTATTGAAGAAAATAACAATCTTCCATGTACCCTAACATTGGATATCAGTGGGAAGGGAGCTTCACAACCCAACATAATTATGCTTTTCCACGAACTTATTAGCAAAGTTCTTTTTCCTGGACTTGAGGCAAACCCCTGCCCTCTCTGCCTGTTTGTTTGCTTCTGTCATTTTGTTTGCTCTCTCTCTCTCTCTCTCTCTGGCCTCCAAGGATGTAACAAGTATAGAGGACATCCTTCCACATGGTGGAGAGTCCGTTTATCTTTTCTTTTTTATTCTTCTGATAGTAGTTTCACAACTGTAAGTAAATATGTTTTTTGTTTTTTCTACTTAAGCTACTTGTAGAGTGATTTTATAAACAAAGGGCTCCATATAGCTGATGAAGGAGAGGGATGTGGAAGTGGGTAACCTGGGGACCATATTCTGATCCTTTGCAGGCCAGGCTGCAACTCTCTATGGGCTGGATTCTGAACCTCTGTGAGTTAAATTATTAACATCTGGTTTCAGACAATGGGCAAAATCCAGTTAGCACAGTTCTGCCAAGCTAAAGCAGCATGAACTGGAGCAATATAGCAACACAGGTGCTTGGGAGAAGACTTCCCAAGCACATAATGGCAGCACTTCAGTCTGCTTGTGTTTTCTTCCAGAACTTGGAAAAGTTCCATTGTTGATCCCAGTTTCCAGAATTGCCCGGTTAGCATGGCAACTGGGTGTGCTGCTACTGGAGTCCAGAGATGTGTAGTCCAAAAAGGGAACTCTCCCAAGTTTTCTCCTGTTGCCTTCTGCTCTGTTGCTTATCTTCAACTATTCTCAGTAGGAGGGGGGAAAGAGTTTCTCCTGCTCGTATTGCTGCGGCTTGGGAGAAGGATATGTGGGCGCAAGAGCGGTGTCTGTTTCCGGGGAGCTCAAGTTTTAAACCTTCATGTAGGAATATGGACTCTTGTACCACATATTGCCACAGGGAATGCCTGAAACAGAACCGCCATTAGGGAGAAATCTAGAAGCAATTGGTGGAAAGGCTGAGTGCCAGAAATTGGCCAGGATTGCATTCATCCTGACTGAGCTGCAACCGTCCTCCCATTGACATCATGTCTTTTGTGGGAATAATCATGGCTCATTTTGCCCTCGCCTTTCCACTGAGTTTAATTTGTAATGGTTATCATGGCCCATTCCAAAGTGGTCTAATGATGTCGGCAAAACAATGAGAGAAATGTCTACAACATGACAGCACATTGTTAAAAGTGGAATAGTCACTGGAAAGGCAGTCATGTGTACTGGACCTTTTTCCTCCCCCCTTTTAAAGTAGGGGAAAAAAGAGATTAAATAGCGGTGTTTCCGATGAATGAAACATAAGGCTAGCTCTCTGAGCAGATGAGCTTATTTGTAGGATGCACCTGGCGTATTTGCTGGTAGCAATGGGATTAGTTTTGTGGTCGGATGGAAATTAAGTCACTGGAATTGAATGTTAATGCAGGAGAAATATCACAAAAAATAAACAACAAGATGAAACAGTGTCTTGCTGACTGTAGCCCATGGTTCCAGAGTGAAAATTCCACTCATTTTTTTTTAATATCACATGTGAAAATTAACAGGAAGAGCTTGGGGTTGAGGATCGTTTCTTTCCTATTTGTAAAAAAAAATACTCCTATGAATCTGCCACCTGTACATACATTGAGCATCACTGGCATCCATTTGCAGTGGTGTAGTAGCTGTATCTCCATGGCATAGCACCATCACCTGCTATAAACATGTAAAACACTCTGAAAGATATGACCCATGTTCTTCATTCTTTCTTCCTTCAACCCACCAAACAAAAAATGCTTTTGGAAAATAGCTCCCAGAATCCTCTACCCATCATCATCACCACCACCACCATCATCATGTGCTATCAAATCAATTATGGTGACCTTTTTCAGGGTTTTCCAGGTAGAGAATACTCAGAAGTGGTTTACCATTCCCTTCTTCTGGGGTCACCCTGGGACTGTGCAGCTGGTCCAAGGCTACACAGGTTGGCTGTCCTCATAGGAGACACAGTGGGGAATAAAACTCCCGATCTTTGGTTCCAAGCCAGACATCTAAACCACTCAGCTATCCAGCTAGCATAGCCACTAGGTAAAGATCAGGTGGGAAAGACTCACGCAATGAACCTTCCCATAAGTTTCTGTTATTCACATGCATAGGACTGCACCATCAGAAAGTGATTTTGAAAGATTCCACAGGATAGGCTTATGGTTTCTGGTGATGTTCCAGAAACACAAGCTGAACCATCAGAATCTCTTTCCAGGTTTTAACTAGAACAAAAAGCAATCAAGAGGAAACACTTCCTTAGATGTTCTTCCCGACGAAGGGCTTTGCAGACACTCTTTAATGTGAATCAACGGTGGCTCATGAACCTTATATTTAAGGAAGGGTCACTATGTCAATGGCTGCTGAACCAGATAAGGAAGAACCTAACAGGGTGAAGAGCTTAGCTATCAATCCTGAGAGCCCATTGCCAAAATTGTTTCTCTTGGAGAAGAGTTCCTTTCATTGGTAAAGGGGGATAGATCCAACATGGTGCTGGCCCTGTAGTGCCAGCAACCAAGGACCTCTGTGTGTGTGTGTGTGTGTGTGTGTGTGTGTGTGTGTGTGTGCGTGCATGCATGGGTGTGGTGTGTGTGCGTGCGTGCGCGCGCGCGCATGTGCGTGCATGCATGGGTGCATGCACACACACACACACAAAGAGAGAGAGAGAGAGAGAGAGAGAGAGAGAGCGCTCGTATACCAGCTCAGTGTTGCGCTTTCTCACTTCAACACAACTGTCAACATTGGTTGATATGGAATCAGCTTGTAGATCTGTCTCAGTTCCTCTGGAAGCACCCCAAACATTTTTTCTTGCAGATATTTAATTTTTTTCTTAATTAAGAAGTAGCCCCAAAGAATGAGAATATTTAACCTGTGTAGTGAGGGCCTCTAATAATTCATCCTAATAATCATCATAATGTGCTGCCAAGTCAATTCTGAATTATGGCAACGCTTTTCAGGGTTTCCCAGGATTTCTCAGAAGTGGTTTACTATACAACTTACCCATGCTTCTTGCAGGAGGCACCACGCAGAATTGATCCCCAGCCTCTAGATCTGCAGCCAGATACCTAAACCACCGGGCTATCCAGCCTAATGTTATTCAAAACATTCAAAACGGGGCATGCATCTGCTCCTACTTTTGTATACTCATAAGAAAGAGGTATCAGAGAGGCAACTCTTACTGTGTGCTGTGTTTTCATACACCTGTATGAGATAACCGTTGTGCTATATTCTCCAGCTTCCCCAGCTTGTATAACAACCTTGATTGTTTCCTGTCTACACAGCCCACAAGCAATGTTAATATCCAATGAAACTTAAATCAGCCTTCAATTTATCTACCAGTACAGTATATAGGTTTTTATGTGTGATTATCTCTGGCAGCCAAGCAAAAACTACTGTCACCCAAGGATTCCATATGATTGGCTGCCCAAGTTTTGGACCAGGTGCTACTTATCCCAGACCTCTTTTTCCAGCCAACTGCTACAAGGAATGCAGTGTTATTCAGGCACGGCTGGTTTCTGGTTCCTGTTAGCCAGAGTGGTCAGCTCCATATCATATTACCAAGAACTGAGCCAGCCAGTTCCCCTCATTTTGTTATTTTTGCCCACCACTGCTGTCTCTGTATAAATAAAACAAAATATCATTTGTAGCTGCTACTGCCAGTTGTCTGAACATCTCATGAAGGACAGCTGTCTCTTCTCCCAGTTGCACGTGGATATGTTCCCATCTCTAAGCTTTAATTGTTGTGGAAAAGCTGATCCAAACATCTTTGTACTACAATGATTTAAACTCACATCAGAAGGAAAACTGAGCCCTCCCTTTAGTGGTATTGCCTGGAAGCATGCGGCACTGCCATGCTAAGGTCAACAATGCAACCATGTGCCTCCTTTTAACTTCCTCCTCTCCACTCTCACAGCAGCAGGAAGTCAGTACAGAGCATAGCTACAAATAACCACCCCAAATGAAGCTCAGCCTCACTGATTACAGACTGATCTGTTCGAACTGATAGACTAAAGCTGCCAGCTGAGGGTGTGTGGGTGTGCATTTGCGCATGTTCTGGAAAAGCAAAGCTCAGAACAGATGTTCAGAAATCTGAGCATGCTTTCTTGCTTTCAACACAAACAGAGTAAAGAGGAAGGAGCAAGGAAATGAATTCTCGAATAACAAGCGAGGTACTTACGGCAGCCCACCACCAGGCATGAGGAATGCTGGTGAAGTTTGTGCTGGAAACATCGTGCTCCACTGTGTAAACCATGGCGGAGAAGGCAAAGATTCCCAGGGCAATGAAGAGAAAGAGGCAGCCCACCTGCTGATAGCACTGGCGCAAAGTGAAGCCAAAGGCTCTCATCCCCGTGGAATGGCGGGCCAATTTGAGGATGCGGAAAATGCGCATCAGGCGCATGATGCGTAGCACTTGCCCTACTTTCCCCACTCGCCCCACTTTTTCAATTTCATGTTCATGGGGGGAACCTTGCCCATGAGGCAAGTCCTCATCGACAAAACATTCCAACAGTAATTGGAGATAAAGGGGCAAGACTGCAATGAGGTCTACAGCGTTGAGGGCACTGCTAGCAAAGCGCCGTAGGTCTGGGGTGGAGAGCAGCCGCAGCACATACTCTAAAGTGAAGAAAGCAATACAGAAGGTCTCCACATGCTCCAGGATGGGCCGAAACTCTCTGTTTCCCTTGTCCTTATGTTGCATCTCCTCCACAGTGTTGAGAGCTAGTGCCACCACAGAAATGAGAACAAACAGGCTGGAGGCCACCCCCATCACTTTAGCCATGGTTGAGGAGAAGGGTTTCTCCATGAGGTTCCAGAGGCGCCAGCGCTGCACCGCATAGCGCATGTGATGGAAGAGATGCTCGCTCTCCTGGACAGCGGCTTGGGCACGTAGCTCCTCTTGCACTTTCAGCTGCTCGTTTAGCTCATCACACCTCTCCTCAAAGCAGATGCGACAGCAGCGTGGGGTGTATTTGAGCCGTACTCCCCAGTAACTCAGCTCTTCCAAGAAGCTGCGGGGGCATAGCTCATCCTGCACCCGCAAAACTCCTGAAGCATAGAAATTGTAGACCAGCTGGAAGACGGCAGGGTCTCGGTCAAAGAAATACTCGTCACCTTGGGCCGCGTAGTCGTCGCACAAGCCTAGCTGATGCCACCGGTCAGTGGATGTAGCCAAGCGGCCCAGGCGCGTTGTGGGATAGATGGCCACTGCCTGGTAAGTCAGCCGGTAAGTTCGGCCACCGACATTGACATTCAGCACAGAGGAGGAAGTACCAGCTGTTCCAGAAGCAAAAGCAGGGCTGAATGGAAATACTGAAGGATCTCCTTCTTCATTCTCCCCCTCCTCCTCATCCTCCAAGCAGAAGTAGTTCTTCTCAGTTTCTTGAGGGAGTTGAGACAAGGATCCCAAGTATCTGGCATCAAATCTCTCAGACTGTGTGTCTATGCATACTGTATCTTTACATCCTGCAGCCAATTCCATGGTGGCCCCTGGAGCTTCTGCTTTGTAGTCTGTGGTCTCAGATGGCCTTCCTTGCTCCGCATTCCACATGGTTCCTTTAGAGTCAGAGGGAGGTGCCTCTCTGTCTCCCCACCACTGCTAGGAAACCTGTGCCGCTTGCTGATGCTGGTGCTGCCGCTGCTCTCTCACTTTGCTCCTTCTTGGCTGAAGCATCCGGCACGAAAAGCAGCTTCACATTTCTTTGCTCCCCATCCACCACCAGCTCCAGTTGTTGTGAAAACTCACTGTGGGATACAGACGCGTGGGGACTGCTGTTGACCGCTTTAATCTTGCTGACAGGGAAGATCTGAGTGCTTAGAGAAGGGGATTTAAAGGCTATTATCCTGTTTCAGCCTCCTCTCCCTCTCTCTGTGACGTGAATGATTATGGATCCAGAAATCTGTGGATAATCAGTCAAAAAAAGTGAAAAGCAGAGTTATTAGTGCTAATAAAAATCAAAGAGTTTCTATTTGTGCAGTCTCAGAATATGGATTCAGGATGGGGGGGGTGTCCCATGGCTTATTTTGGATTTATGCATCTTTATGCGTGCATGCGTCTTGTCCCTGATTTTCTCTCAGGTTCCCTCATTCTGTATATTAATAAGTTCTTAGCATTGTGTCATATATTATAGCCCATTTTACAAGTGACAAAATAATGCCTTTCTTTGTTGAAAACTCTGAGGGCCCATTCTAATGTTATGTAGTAGATTAGTGTTACTAAAATAAGAGTTAACAAGCAGTGCCACATGTACTCCTCCACAAGCACAAAAACTGGCATGGAACTCAGAACGTTCATTCTGAGTGTCTCATCTTTCTTATTTTTAAGCATGCTTTTAGGGCTGTGAAGTTGAAAGTGATTTAACAATGCCTAATCAAATCTCAGAAGCTTGAAGCCAATCATCTAAAAGCGTGGGGGGTTTGATCAGGAGGAGCTTCCATGCTTTGTTATTACTCTTTACTTTTGACTGCAGAGGGAAGATATATTAGGCACACAACACCAAAATGTCACTGTTTGCACATTCGCTGAATTACCTAGGATTATAATTCTGATTTTTTTTTCCTGAAACAGATTTTGGATTAATTTGTTGGCATATTTTGAAGGATGGAGGTGGCCTAAATCCTGTTGCTAGTCTCAAATGGAGTAGACTACATAATTGAATCACTTGTTGAATGGTGAGACAACAAGGAAATCAATACATCTACTCTAGCTGGGATTCTCCAGCTGCTGCCAGTTAGTAGATAACACTGAGCTAGAAGGCCCATGGTATCCAGTGTGGTGTAGTGCAGTGGTCCCCAACCTTGGGCCTCCAGATGTTCTACTACTCCCAGAAGCCTTCACCACCACCTCTGCTGGCCAGGATTTGTGGGAGTTGAAGTCCAAGAACATCTGGAGGCCCAAGGTTGGGGACCACTGGTGTAGTGGATAGAGAAATGGACTAGGACTCAGGAGGCCTGGGTTTGATTCCCTGGCTCTGCCACAGAAGCTCACTGGGGGTGAGCAACTGGTAAAATCATTCCTTAAATACCTTACTATGCTGGCTGGATAGCTGGTTTAGGTATCTGGCTGCAGAGCCCCAGGTCAGGAGTATGATTTTCTCCTGAAGGAGAGCCAGCCAATGTGGCTTTGGGTAAGCTGCACAGTCCCAGAAGGCCCCCAGAGGAAGGGAAGAGTAAACCTACCTGGAAAACCCTGGAAAGGGTCACCATAAATCGGAATGCACTTGACAGCGTGCAATTATTATTAATTAAATACCTCATATACCTTGAGAACCCTATTAGGTCACTATAAATCACTTCCAACTTGACGGCACATAACAAGAACAGAAGATCAATAGACTTCTGTATAAATCAGGCTTTTCCTCCCTAATACTATTGGAGAGAAGGGGTCTTCTCATCAGAAGGACTGATAGTAAATGTGTGCCCACATTCACAGATGCATATTCACTGCAGTCCAATACTAGCTCTACACTGACGTGCAGCAGCTGTCTAACAGCTCGAAGGAGAAGTTCTTCCAAATTTCATAATATAATTTTATGTAGATGTCTTAGGGAAAGGATATTCTATGTATCTGGCACATACTCTTCTGCTGAGCTTTGGCTCCTTCCTCAAGCAAAGACACTTTTCTTTAATACATATAACAGCGATGAAGCTAGTGGCACTCCCAAGACTGGAAAACTCTCTGGCATAAGTTTTCATTGGCTGCAGCCCACCTCCTTAGAAGGGTGGCCTGGGAGACCAGGCTGCTGGATACTGTCCTGAAGTCCTACTGACTTCTGTGGAATTCAGGTCACCTACTTTTCTCTAGTATAAGCCCCATACTTGCAAGCCAGTACTTCACTTGCTTGGAAGGATTTCCTCAGGCACTGAAACAGCTGTTTGATGGGCCTAGGGTTGCCTAAGAGCTTAAATTTGACTTTCGGATTGGACTGAATGTCAAATATTTACTGGTTGAATCCCTAAATATTTTCCATGAATATATGACATGGAACCCAGTAAGATATGATCAACTGATGCCTTTTGTTTGATGGATGTCTTCTCCTTCTTTGAGTCAACTCTCTATTACATATTTCTTGCAAATGTTTTGTGAGTTTTATGCCTCCCACCTAAATCTAAAGCATTTCTTGAAGATTAAGGACTGCACCTCCTTTCCAATTCTAGCAGAAGCACTTTTATATACACACAGGAGACCTATTACATAAAGGAGAAATTGCTTGGAAAAGCTGTTGATTGAGTCTGTTCTTTCACAAGAGCTCCTATACTCTCTCTTCCCCCCAGATCTCCAGGAGATCCATCACCTATTTTGGGGAATCACATCACACCACAGCCTCTTGGAAGACACAGTCTACGTGGGTTGGCCATTTTAAATACAGGATTGGTCCTCTGCATCTGCAAAGAGAGGTGCAAAGCGGGTCTGGAATTGAAGATATGGTGGCGAGGTATACAGGGTGGTTGAGAGATGAATAAGGGGAGATGGGGAAAAACATGAACTGGGTACCATTTTGAACCCCCATCATGTGCTACAATAAAGCTTGTTGCAGATTTGATCTGTTTTTTTTCCCTGGGGAGTGCAGGTTTGGCCATATGGTGACGGAAGAACTGAATTATCCAGTATCTGTCTGCCATAAAGAGACACTGCAAATAACCATGTAATGTTGATGGATTCATAAATATCTTTGATTCTCCCCTCTCCACAAATGCTGGTGGGTGGGTGTGCTTGAGAAAAAGATAGACAGACAGAATCACTTTGGCAGCAATGTATATGGAAAAGCAGTACACAAATAAGGTGACTTGTGTTGACTGATGTTGGGACCTACATCCATTCTTGAGGACAACCCACCAACATGTATGCAGGCCCTGTGGCTAGCTTAAGAACATTTAAAACTGCAGCACTGCTGTAGCTGAGCAGCTGTAGACCTCCTTAGGCAGGAGACTACTGTACTATGGGTCCATGTAACAGTATGGCATTAGTAACAAATAAGTAAAAATTAATACAATGTGAGTGGACAGAGCCACAATGAGCCTATGTTATGAAGCAGAAGACACTATTTGCATGCAGATAACTTTTTCTTCTGGCTTTAGTTTGTGTAACAACCATCTTCTTTCTTAGGGAAGGCAAATCTGGCCATAAGAATTCACTTCTTAATTGACTCTTGATTAGATTAAAGTAACTTGTGCTATGAGGAGCTGCCCTGAAAAGACCATCTCCTCAGATATGAGTCTGCCTGTAGTCCAAGACTCTCCTCAGAGGCTCAGCTTCACAACCTACCATCAACAAGCAGTCCAGGTTGTTGAATGCCTTAGCCAGGAGGCTGTTTGGGAAACACTACTTCAGTTGTCAAATCCCCTCCCAAGGAATATAAGGGTGGGTGCCCCCCACAACTGAGTTTTTGACAAGAAAATAAAAAAGATATTGTTTCATCAGGCCTTGAGTTTTTTTAACTGGTTGTGGCCCTTTAAAAAAGGTTCTTACATGCTTCCAATCCTATTGGATTTTAATGCAACAGAGCCCCATTGAGGGGGGGAAAGTGATGAATAATTTTAATACATGAAAAAAGAGAGAAAAGAATGCAGGCTTACAGAGGCTTAGCGGATTTCCAGTTCATCCAATGCAAGTTTGCCTGTTGCTAACTTCATACACCATGATACCATTTAGTCTTTGCCATGGTTGTTCTCCTTTATATCCAGACATTCTGTGGGGTAAACATGATTTCCTAGGTTTGCTTTAATGCAGAAGCTAATTATCCCCCCCACACACACACACACATACAGAGCTGAGCATTGGTCTTATAAAATGAAGAGTTTGAAGAGTTTACACTGAAAGCTGGACAGCTGATTATGAAAAAAAAATAACAGTGAATTCTACATGATCCTAAGATTCTAGGCTAAGCTCCAAAAAATAGGTTGCTTTTTATTTTAAAAGGTATTTATTACAGTTATATCCGTTCTTACCTCTTAAAGCCTTCAAGGTTGCACCCTTGGGCATTTATCCCATTTAATCCTCACAAAACCCTGTGAAGTTAGGCTTAAAGAGAGTGATTTGGTCAACAGTACCCCTATAGGATTCAAACTGACCTCTTAATCTAAAATATTATATCCTAGGCTAAACTACCTAGATCTCTGTCTCCAAACAAAGTCAGCCACAATTCCATGTTCACAGCTTGCCCTCTGTCTGTAAAAGCTACACAAGACAGTGAATGCCAGAAGCAAAAAATCTTCTGAGTTCAAAGATGGAAAAAGCTTTCCTTCTTCCCCTGTCACTCACTGGTTAAAAACGCAGGAGCTCTGCCAGAAAATGCAGTGGCAACATGACTCATTAGCGTTGCATGGTCATCTATAGACACAATAAACCAGTGCCAGACATGCTTCTGTTCGCCCCAGGGAGCCATGCAATCTATCATTCTCTGCATGATATCTCCACAAGAATGTATATTATCTCTACACAGTGACGTAAAATAAGAGGCTAACAAATCAGCAGTCAAGAGCTGACAAATACAAGCAAATCTATGCTCAATAAACCGGATTGATTCCGAATGAAAGCTCAAGGGAAATGGGACATTCCAGAACAGGCAGTAAGCTAGTCTCAGAGGAAAATAAAATCTGAGGGTACAAATGTCAATACCTGTTCTTCAAAGTAGATCCTTGCACTGTAAAAATAGAAATATCTGAAAATGTTAAGTTAATGCAAGGAGTTGTGGGTTTTGTTATGCATGATGGTGTAAAATGCCAGGCAAGTCCCAGAAAGAAAGAAAGAAAGAAAGAAAGAAAGAAAGAAAGAAAGAAAGAAAGAAAGAAAGAAAGAAAGAAAGAAAGAAAGAAAGAAAGAAAGAAAGAAAGAAAAGCATTAAAATAATCACAAGCAGGAAAGCTCAAAAGTCTATGTAGTGAAAACATTCAATAAGAG